CCCCAAAACCCCAAAACCCCAAAACCCCAAAACCCCAAAACCCCAAAACCCCAAAAATATTTTATTACAATTCGAATAAAGTACGATGGAAACAAAACTTCTTGGTAACCTTGGTTAGTCCTAGCAAATCGTTAGTCAGGCATCAGCAAATCCATTAATGAGCCTAGATATGGCTTAACTGCAGATCTGCTTCTTCATACAAGTTTAGCTCGAATCCATCTCTCTCTTTTGACAGTTTAGATGCAGGGAAATAAAGATTGTCAAGCTTTATTTCATGATTATCGTCCATAAAGTTTAGTGGCTCATCAAACTGGATCTCTTGTGAGAGGATGTCAAACTCGTTTTGTTCCTTTCCTGCATGATCCATAAGTTGTTCGAACTGGTGATGGTCAAAGTCAGCAATTCATGGGGTAAAGCATTCGAATTCCTTCTGATGTCCCTTATCGAAGCCATCTTCAGGCCCTTTCAATATGTCTTCAATGTGTGAATCAGCTTTCATTTCTATCTGATACTCCTGCACTAGACTTCTATCGATCCTGATCTTAGTCTCTTCTTCTGCTACGATATGGGGTGGCTGGTCGGGGCAGAGCAGGGGTTTAGGTGGGCAAAGAGCCTTGAGGGGTTCATGACTGGGGATAGGAGATTGTGGGGAATATAGGCAGGTATTAGACCTCTGTGTAGGCTCAGCGATGATATCTGTCTTCATACGTTTGAAGTTTCCACTGTGGCTGAGGTGAGAAGAGTCTTTGGTGAGGGTAGACCCTTTGGGAATAGCTTCTTGAGGCGTAGGAGAGGGGTCCCTGCTTCCTGAAGGGGGGTATAGGTGTTTTTGGTGGAGGAAGGTGTGGTTTAGTTTGGCTCTTCTTTGTTTAGAGCTTCTTACCTAAAGTAGGGTTAGGGTTTGAAGGGATTTTTGGATTTGGGAATTTTATGTGAGGCTAGAGGTAGATTTTTAAGCTCAAAGACAACCTCTTTGTATTATTCTTAACGCAAAGGATGGAGGGATGGCATTTTTTCTGTATCAAAGAAAACAAACAAAACCTTGTCATGATTTAAAATGGGAGGAACCTTTCACAATTCTTATATTTGAAGAAAATGGTATTTTGAATATAATTAAGTCTTATTTTATGTAAATTTTAGAATTCCGAAGAGAGTCATACTTAAGCCACTGTTTTGGCAATTAAGAAATAAGAACCACTTAAAGAGAGGAGAGGTTTGTAAGGACTAGATATTTGCTCAACCCAATTTTGGGTCTTAAATGCCATAAGAGTGATCATTAGAAGCATTTCACTTAAAACTTATGCCTAAAGCTCAGGGAATGAATCGAATATTTTCAACTAAATTTTAAATGGGAAAAGTCATTAAAGCTTAGAAGTAGGTAGTATTGCATTAGTAACAGAGATTTCAAATAAAAGTAACATAGGTTGAACAGTTGTGTAATGTTCGAATTTGGTGACTTATTCTACCAACTCCCATCTCACTTACTGTAGATCTAACATGTTCACTATTCTGGCTCTCACAAGAGTTAATAGGTAACTGTTGAGCAATCTTGGATGGAGGTTTTGAGTCTGGAAGAGCTATATTCATGACAGAATTAAGCTTCTGATTGGCAATTCTCAAGAGGGGTTGATTCTCGTCATAATCTGTAGAGTCACCCTCTACTCCAATATTGAGATCAACTTTAAGCTGCTCAATATCAAGTTTATTCAAAAATTCTTCCAGAGTCAATTCTTTCTTTTCCAATTTGACAAAGAACTTTTGAGCATGAGATCGAGCTTGGGTGGAAGTACGTGTATAAACATGTTGTTGAACTTTCTGCCACTCCTTTCCGAACATCTTTAGAGCCTCAAGAAACTTGAAGTGCTCTAGTCTAGTCCATCTGCCTGATCTAAAGTGGGCTTTGGCTGCTTTAGTCTTAGCAATACTTTCATAGTTCCTCTTCCTCTTTTTACCTGAATTATTCTTATTCTTCTTGGGTCTAGCCTCAGATTGCTCATAAGAGCACTGAGCCTTTCTCAGGCTCTTCTTCCATCTTCTCTTTACTCCAAGATTGGAACCAGAGATCTCCTCAGCAGCATGACGCTGGTTTGGAGGACTGGTTGAAGGATATTTCTTAGAAGAAACTGTCATAGAGTCTCAAATCGGGTCCGGACGCTCATCCAATGCTTCGTCTTGGTCATGAAGCTTCTCTGGTGAGCTCTCGTTCGACTTGAAGGGGTATTGTACAGGCTGGTCGATCAGTGAATGCACCGCAGTGCCTATCTCCACCTGATCCGATAGCCTCAAGTTGATGGTTGAGTTTTCCTCTCCACCTAATTCCATTTTATAGAAAGTAAATTTATAAAAACTTGGGTTATCTCTCTTTAATGGGGTTTTGGGGTTTTGGGGTTTTGGGGTTTTGGGG